TTTACAAATCACCTTTCAGCTTTTACACACTAAATGATCATGTGACTTTACAGGCTACCTCACTGCATTACTTTACACACTACTGTACCTACTGCATTACACATTACGCCATCACATTACTTTACCCACTACAGCTCTCCATTATTGTAAATGCTACCTCTGTTACTTTACATATTTCTCTACTGTGTTTCTGTTACTTTATACACTACGCACTTACATTATACTGTTTTTTACACATAGAGCCAGACCGATATATCGGCAGGCCGATATTAGGCGTTTTCCAAACTATCGGTATCGGCAGTTATAATGGCCGATAAATGAATATTTCAAAAATAAAATAAAGTGGACGAAACATGCTTGAACAATGTCATGAGTGTTGGAGTTGTATAGTTTGTCTACCAGAGGGCACTCTACACCGTCCCTGTTGGCAGCACTCGTTGAGTTGGTCACGATATATACATTGCTTGAATAACAATTAAAAGAACATCTCCATCAGTTCTCTTAACTCAAATAAGCATGACAAAATTCGTGACTATCATGTCCAGTTTTGCTGCTGTTAAATAAGCCGAGAGTGAAGCCGAATTAGCTAGTAATAATTACGTTACGTTGTTACAGTGTAGTTGACTGACTGTCCTTTTAACTTTTGTCAATGTGACTGAAGTATTTCTGTAATAGCGCGTGACAGTTATAGCAATGAGACGGATCTCTCCTTGGCCTGTTATATTGAAAATGTATGTTTTACACTTTGCAGTGTGACGTTATCCATTGCTAAATTATGGCTCATCATAGACTAGCTAACCACAAAGCTAGCTAATGCCACTATCATCAGTCTGTTTTGTTTCGATAATAAAATAAACGAATTTTCTTTTTAAAATGCATTATCATATTATTTTAGTTAAAACTCATAAATAACTACAAATAAATGTTAGGGAAATCTGTTAATGTTTTGTTGCGCGTTTCTGAAATAATAATTATAAAAAAATCGGCCGATATATCGGAATATCGGATTTTAAAACCAACAAATATTTCTGTCGGTATCGGCCTTCAAAATCCTTTATCGGTCGGGCTCTACACCAAATTGTAGTATTTTACATGTTACCAAACTTTAATTTACAGTACTTGTTACTTTACATTAGTTTGTTGCATTACTGTACACTACCACACCGCATTATGTTAGTTGCTGCCTCTCTTTTACATATATTAGATAGCAGTGTTACTTTACACACTAATGCAGAGTTATTTTACATGTTACCAAGCTGTTTTATTTTAATTTACAGCAGCGTACTTTTTACTGTTCATTTTTTGCATTAATTTACACTCAACATCACCGCATTACAATACACATGACCTAATTTAATTTTAGTTTACACACTACCTTACAAGAGCCCGACCGATAAAGGATTTCGAAGGCCGATACAAATATTTGTTGGTTTTAAAATCTGATATTCCGATATATCGGCCGATATTTTTATTTTATTTTATTTTTTTTCCAGAAACGTGCAACAAAACATTAACAGATTTCCCTAACATTAGTTATTTATAGTTATTAATGTGTTTTAACTAAAATAATATGTTAATGCATTTTAAAAAGAAACTTGTTTCTTTTACTGTCACAACACAACAGAGGAACATCAAAATATATTAAAGTTCTGATAAATAAAGTATTAATTAGTCCCTACATTGCCTTATAAGCTACCTGCAACCTGGATTGCGCGTTATACACGAGTTTTGCAAACAGGGACGGTGTAGAGTGCCCTCTGGTGGACAAACTTTACAACTCCAACATTCGTGACATGGTTGAAGCGTGTTTCGTACGTTTTTATTTTTGAAATATTAATTTATTGGCCATTATAACTGCCGATACCGATAGTTTATCGGTAATATACCAATAATATCGGCCTGCCGATAAATCGGTCTGGCTCTATACCTTAATGTATATTTTACGTTCAACCTCCTCTGTTACTTTACATACTAGCTGCATTACTTTAGTGATTAATTCACCACATTAAACTACTTCACTGCATCACTTTATGCACTCATGCTGCTTGTACTGTAGTTTTACAGAGCGAATAGAAATCACAGAGTTTTAGTTGGAGGTCTTAGCAGTCAACCATTTCTTTTCTCTTTTTCACTGAGAAATAATACAAAATGCTATTTGAACAAATTTCTTAAAGGGTTAGTTCACCCAAAAATGAAAATTAAGTCATTAATTACTCACCCCCATGCTGTACCAACCCCGTAAGACCTTCGTTCGTCTTCGGAACACAAATGAAGATATTTTTGATTAAATTTGAGAGCTGTATAACTACCACATTGGCTCCTAAGGGACTGCCTCTTGACGGCCCAGAAAGTCAATGAAGAAAATGTTTAAATATCCCAAGTGACTACCGTGGCTCAACTATATGTTTATCAAGCGACGCGAATACTTTTTGTGCGAAAAAACAAACAAAAATAACGAGTTTATTCGACTATTTTTTTCTTCCTTGTAGGCCAGAACGAGACTTCCTTATAGATTTCCACGACGCATGCGCGAGATTTGCGATCTGCGTACACCAGCTTACACCACTTCAGATCGCAATTCTCGCGCATGCGTCGTGGAAATCTATAAGGAAGTCTCGTTCTGGCCTACAAGGAAGAAAAAAATAGTCGAATAAACTCGTTATTTTTGTTTGTTTTTTCGCACAAAAAGTATTCGCGTCGCTTGATAAACATATAGTTGAGCCACGGTAGTCACTTGGGATATTTAAACATTTTCTTCATTGACTTTTTGGGCCGTCAAGAGGCAGTCCCTTAGGAGCCAATGTGGTAGTTATACAGCTCTCAAATTTAATCAAAAATATCTTCATTTGTGTTCCGAAGACGAACGAAGGTCTTACGGGGTTGGTACAGCATGGGGGTGAGTAATTAATGACTTAATTTTCATTTTTGGGTGAACTAACCCTTTAAGACACATCATTAGCCGAATAATGTTTCAGCTTGTTGCTAGTCCGGTGACCAGACAGAGGTGATAAGTTCTTTCAAGTCGGTTTCATATGAAGAACATTTTCATATGTTCTCAGGTTTTGGCAGCACTGTAGGCTGTTTAATATGCTTTGAACTGAACCCATCCTCCCCTCAACAGTGCTAACGGTTTAACACCGTGCCTGTGGGCCACATGCTGAATGCTTCCAGCCAAACTCAACCCTTCTGGCTTCATTATTGATCCCGATGAACAACTGGGGCTCACAGTGTGATCAGTGCAGTTTATTCATTACAGCAAATCACAAACAAAAATCCAAATTGGCCTCTTCTGAAATATTTGCAAAGCTCTACATTTATACAGTGTATTTTGTGTTCTTTGAGTTGTTCTGCACACCAATGACTATTTTAATGGATTTGTGATTCCCTAAACAAGAATTTTGAGGATCACAAAAGCTCTACATGTTCGTTGAAACTAAAAAATCCTGAAAAGTCTTTCAGGACAAAGGGAATCATCACTGGCGTCAGGCTTCCCAATGCAATACATCGTTTTAATGATCATGTGAGAGGGATGTTGTGTTTCACAAACAGGAAATGAACATGCTTTGATGTTCTCAAAAGAAGTATTCCAGCGCTGTGTAGGTGGTTATGAAACCGTAACTAGAGTCACGACAGGTTGTTAGAGAATAGGGTGACGGCAAAAGAAAAAAAAAACTGTAAACCTGACATTCACTGGAGATGTGAGCTCTGTTACAAAACCAATTGAGCTGCTTACCCAGAAAGCATTTTAAGGCGTTATAGATGCACTCTCTATGCAAAAACTGTTATTATGAATATTATGCTTTTTTAGCTGAATAATTTTAGGGCAGCATTGTATGTTTTTATTACCAGATAAGGAAATCCCACAATTCACAAGAAGGCGTATCAGTCAAGAGATACCGAGAAGTATTTATAAAATTACTTTTTGTGTGTGTGTGTGTGTGCTATGTATATGTCATGGGATTTAAAGTAACATGTTATTAGTTTTGCAACATGCTAACACCAAACTGTGGGTTGTTTGCGCACTATTTATGGAGTTTTTGCCAGTAGAGTATACAGAATGAGGTTTCATTTGGATAGGTATTAGATAGCGAGGTTGGACACTTTCCTCTAAAAGATGATTTTCAGAAGCTTTAAAATGAGGGCAGTTGTGCATTAACAGTGCTTCAGAAAGCATTAGAATCTCTGGCTACAGATTCAAATAGTCAGCATGTCTTTAAGTAAGATATCAGAGAGTGTTTCAGATCGGTTTTGATCCAACGTCTCGACTTTAGGATGGCATATCCTAGCGATTTTATGGCTACCAACTTTCTGTGAAGTGGATTTCTCATTGAAAATGGTGGATAGATTCACACATATGCCTCCGTGCCATTGTTTCAAATGGATTCCATACATGGAAGTGTGAAGGCTCACAGGATTTGAGAGTGAAAATGCTGGTTGGGACAACAGCCTTCTAACTCACTTCTCAGCTGTGTTAGGTGCAGCAGAGGTTTAGAGACTTCATAAATATCTTATGATGGTGATGTAACCCTTGCAATGGATTCCAAGTCAAGTCCCTGAGCTCAGTTAGCATGAGTGCTACTGTGTGTTAAAAGCCTTTGAAGTTGAACTAGCTGGGGTCAAAACAAAGGAGATTGGATCCAAAAGTGCCAATTCGCGCAGTTATGCAAGTACACGCCATTGGCTCTTCCTTTTCACAGTTCTGAATAATCCAGCAGTCCTTAGTGCAGTCGTTTTATGAGCCTATGTTGTAATGAAAGTGGAAAAGGATTTCTGCTATATTAGTAAAACACACTTTTACCCTCTCCATTCTTTCAATGAACAGTGTTCAATGAATGCACAATTCACTCATGTTTCAGAGCCATTTGTTGCTCGCCAAAGATAATAGCAGAGTAGAAGGTTTAGTCAATATACTGTGCGGTATAATTGTTTATTGATTTGGATGCCTTGAATTTCATATTTTATAACTCAGTGCACTTTTTCTCTTTTCTCCGTCTGTGCAGGTAACCGGTAGGATGGTAGCAGGGGAAGTGAGTGGGCACAGCTTCCTGGTGGCGTGCTGGCAGCCCATTCTAATCTTGATGCTGGGCACGGTGCTGTCCGGCTCTGCCACGGGCTGCCCATCACGCTGCGAGTGCAATGCTCAGGAGCGCTCGGTCTTATGCCACCGCAAGAAGCTGATGTCCGTTCCAGAGGGGATCCCGTCGGAAACACGACTCCTGGACCTCAGCAAGAATCGAATCAAAACCATCAACCCAGATGAGTTCTCTGCCTTTCCGCACTTGGAAGAGCTGGAGCTCAATGAAAACACCATCTCGGCCATTGAGCCCGGTGCCTTTAACAACCTGTACGGCCTGCAGAGCCTGGGACTGCGCAGCAACAAGCTGAAGCTCATCCAGTTGGGAGTGTTCACAGGCCTCAGTAATCTAACACGGCTGGACATCAGTGAAAACAAGATCGTAATTCTGCTGGACTACATGTTCCAGGACCTCTACAACCTGCGCTCCCTGGAGGTTGGGGATAATGACCTTGTCTTCATATCCCACCGGGCGTTTCATGGGCTCAGCAGCTTGGAGCAGCTTACGCTAGAAAAGTGCAACCTGACCTCTGTCCCGACAGAGGCCTTCACGCATCTGCACAGCTTGGTTACGCTGCGCTTGCGAAACCTCAACATCAACAGCATCCGAGATTACAGCTTCAAGCGGCTCTACCGTCTCAAAGTCCTGGAAATCGCCAACTGGCCCTACCTGGATACCATGACCACCAACTGCTTGTACGGATTGAATCTTACCTCTCTAACGATCACCAATGCAAACTTGACGTCGATTCCATACTTGGCTTTGCGACACCTGGTTTATCTTCGTTTCCTCAACATGTCCTACAATCCCATCCAGATGATCGAGGGCAACCGGCTCCATGACCTGCTCCGACTGCAGGAGTTCCACCTGGTGGGCGGTCGACTGACAACGATCGAGCCCTACTCCTTCAGAGGACTGAACTACCTGAAAATCCTCAATGTCTCCAGCAATGCCCTCACCACCCTGGAGGAGGCTGCGTTCCATTCAGTGGGGAACCTAGAGACCCTCGCATTGTATGACAACCCGCTGGCTTGTGACTGCCGCTTGCTCTGGGTTTTCCGACGCCGCTGGAGGCTCAACTTCAACCGCCAGCAACCGACTTGCTCCTCACCCGAGTTCGTTCAAGGAAAAGAGTTCAAGGACTTTCCTGACGTGCTTCAGCCCAATTACTTCACGTGTCGCAAGTCAAGGATTCGGGACCGGAAGCCACAGCAAAAGTTTGTTGACGAAGGCACCACCATCCACTTCGTGTGTCAAGCAGATGGAGACCCAACGCCCGTCATCATGTGGCTTTCCCCACAAAAACAGTTCATCACCATGAAAACGATAGGACGGCTCACTGTTTTCCCAGATGGCACCCTGGAGGTGCGCTACGCTCAGATTCAGGACAACGGGACATATGTGTGCATTGCTAGCAACGCCGGTGGAAACGACACCGCTTTGGCCCACCTGCATGTCCACAGTTACTCGCCAGACTGGCCCAACCAACCCAACAAAACCTTGGCGTTTATCTCTAACCAACCCAACGACAACGGAGCCAATGGAACAAGAGCAACTGTCCCGTTCCCGTTTGATATAAAGACACTAATCATCGCCACCACTATGGGCTTCATCTCCTTTTTGGGTGTGGTTCTGTTCTGCCTGGTTCTGCTCTTTCTTTGGAGCAGAGGCAAAGGAAACAGCAAACACAACATTGAGATAGAGTACGTCCCGCGCAAATCGGACGCTGGGATGAGCAGCAGCGGCAACGCCGATGCCCCTCGAAAATTTAACATGAAAATGATATAATCCAACCAGGGAGCTCAAGAGACCCTTTCAAAAACTCATAAAGACAAAAACAAGAGATTCCCTGCCTGAACAACCTCTGGCTCTGACGAGCTCCCCATAGAGGAGGGGTGTTTTTCCCCCTTTCTAAAGATGGATGTGCGTCACAGGGGTTGGTGCTTTTGTTCAATATTGAACATGAGAGGGGGAAAATGTCCTCATACGCAGTATCCTCATACTCTGTGATGCCGCTTAAACTCAGCCTACGGGGACCAATAACTTTGAGAGAGGATTTTGTTTTAAAACACTTAAGTTCCTGTGGATTTTTATGGGCAAAAAAAAAGGAAAACCCCAACCTCCAAAATGTTTTGTGTCGACCTCCAGAATGCAAAGGCAGAGCATCCTTCTCCCTTCTGTCCTGCTGCCTGCATCCTCTGTTCATTTGTTTAACCCTTTCATTTCTTGTTTTCTACTAAAATTAATAGTTTTATGAAAGAATAACAGGGGTGAAAAGCACATTTAACAAACCTAACAGCTGAATTTGCCCAAATTCACCAAAAACGTCTTCTACATTGTGTCTAACAACAGAATGTAGAGTATAATAGACTTCATTCCCGCTATAGAGAAATGTGTGTATAGTGCAACTTTCACCGCACATTCCTTTCTTTGTATCTGCTCTCTGCTGTCTGGTTCTCATTTTGCTTTCGGATCTGTATTTTAAATCTGCATTTGTTAGATAAGCCGAGGGAGTTTTACGACTCGAGCATCTGGATAAACAAGTACTGGTTGTTTATTGTTGGATTTAATGGCTAGGCAAGTGAAATCAGCAGTAATTATGTAACTTTGGTTGTATGTTTTGCTTTAATTTTATATAGAGATGATCATTGTAGCCTGCAGTGAGCATTTCTGTGGTGCCTGGTCAGGTTTAAACCCATTTAATGGCACTGCAGCATCACATTTTTATAACAAACTCATTCAAAGTTTGATTTGCCCGAGAAGCTAAACCGATACAGTACAGCTCTATCTCGGAGCAAGCAAGTTCATAACAGAATTAATCATTTCATCAAAAGGTGAGAGTGTTGAAATGCTCGACAGCACTCAATCACCTTTACCTGCTGCCGAGTCTCACACCTGTCTCTTGCTCTCAGATCTGTCTCTTGGTCTCACACCTGTCTAGTGGTCTTAGACTAAGACCTGCCTGTCTTACCAGCTGCAGATCTATTTTTCTTTACATTTATGTAAAACGTTGGTGCCCAAAGAAACCGTTTTGAGTTTTTCCAGTACGTCTAAGGGGTTTGTTACAATGACAGATATCTATACTAAGAATTATTGCGTTATATGTTTCCACATGCAGAAATGGTGTCACGTTAAAGAAGTGGGAGCAAATTGAAAGTAGGCTGTTTTGTGCTGACAGGAAAGCTCAATGGTGCAGTGCTAGATAGACGCTAGTTAAGAATGGATTGGTTAGTGAGTATGAAGCAGGTTTTTGGGCTGAAATGCAATGGTTTAATGAATTCGCAACACAGTCCAGCTGTGTTTTAAGTGTGTCTGTGTTTAATCTGGGCCAAGCAGGGCAGGTGATTTCCATGGAAGGACACTGAGCTGTGTTTATGCGCTGGAATTTGCTCCGGTGTAGATGGGTTTCTCCTCGCTAAGTGGTTTGTACTGCTGACTGAGGCTGCAGATGGAGAGCTGCACAGATGGTTTAACCCTTACTGATCCACTTTAGAGTTAATCTGACACTTGCGCGCACACACACACACACCTGAATCTTTCTCTGATCCTCTGCCTCTGTGGTCTACCTACTGTTTTCATCCTATTACGTCGAATAAACCTTTATATGACCTCTGCCCTCTCCAACATTCAGCCCAGAATGATAATGTGCATTAATGTGGTCCATAATATTCTTTTATACTAAAGAAAAAAGACCTAAAAAGGTGAAAAAATCTAGTATGAAAAAATGTTTAAATTGTTCTGTGCAATAAAAGTAATATGCATTTTGTTTTCTTTTTTTTTTTTTTTAATTAACACAATTTTATTGATGTTGAATTGTTGAAAATATGGTATGTTGTATTAAACAATCTATGGAGATTTTTTTACCAAAAAACGTGCCTTGTTTATTTTGTTCAAGCATATATACTCAACGTTATATTTAGGATTTGAGCAAGAAAACGTATAAGAACGGATTAGAACATCTTAAAAAGTATGTTTGCACTAGACTAGACTAGAAGTGATTGGGTGCTTCTTATCAAAATAGAACAACATCTTACTTTTTTAAAGAAAAATGCATCCCATTAGTAATCAGATTTTCACTATGGGCTCTATCTTGCACCCGGCGCAAATTACTTTATACACTGACGTATGTAACATTCCTATTTTGCACCCGCGCAAGACGCATGTCGGTAAACTAGGATATGAACTTGCACTCCCTGGGCGGGTCAGCCCAAAAAGCATGGTGCCCCCGGTGCTATTTTGCAGTTCCAGAAAACAATTCCGCCACTGACCAGAAAAAAAAGTAGTCTAAAGTCAGTGGTGTTGTTCACAATGCTATTTTAAGCGCGCATGCTTGGGCATAATGTAGTGGGTGCACAACGCGCATACACTTTGATTCTCTCATCTACACAGATGCAGCCGTTCTTATTTTTGCAAATCATACATTATAACAACGAAAAATATGAACACATGAGGGAAATCATTGTGATGTCCCAGCCCATTCTCATCCCAAGGCGTCATATACTGACGCTTTTGTCAATGCGTACACATGGCACCCTTTAGCGTCAATATGAGACGCAGATATATATGGGCCAGAAGGCGCCTCCTAGTGGTCTAACCCTAACCCTACCCCAGACCTAATGCCGCTTTCACTGGCAGTTGAAATCAGTTTCTTAATACGCAATTCGTTCCGAACAGACGTCGTACTACACAGTGAAAAGCGTCGGACGCGGGTAGAACAAAAATGGCGGAGAGATTAGAAAGGTTGATTCTGTCAGTTCTGTATGATCTCTGATGGGGCTTTAGAGATATTAATAGAAAGGCTGCTGCATGAGGAAAGTTGCTGAGGATGTTGATATGTCAGGTCGATTAAAAACTGTGATATGGTCAGTAGTTCAATGTCTGCCTACAATTTAATTGCATTAACTGCCCTAATAACATTAGAAAGTCATGAAAATAAAAAAAAATGACATGACAACTTAGGCTATCATTATAAAATTATTTATTTTATTAAACGTTAAGAATTCAGGTTTGTTTATCAGTACCATAGCAACGCTCAACTTCCGCTGGAATTGTCGGATAGGAACAGTCCGAACCTTTTCGCAAGATTTACATTTTTTGAACGCATCCGGATGACCAACGGACACGATTTTCTTCGCACCGCACTCGGTCGGACCGTTTCAGACACATTCGCATGCGGTCTGCGAATATCCATAGGAAATGAACGACTTCCGGTCGTTTCGGAGCTGTACCGGAGAGAATTTCAACTGCCAGTGTGAAGGCGGCGTAAACCTACCCATAACTGAAGCGTGTTATATTGATGCTAAAGGGTGCCATGTGCGTTGGATGTATACGCATTGTCAAAAGCGTCAGTATATGACGCCTTGGGATAGGAATGCGTTGGGTGTCCATGAAGATTTAAAAAAAAAAATGTAGACCTAAATCTAGCCTGCACATTTACCCAAATTTTTCAGGCTAATTGTAGTACTGACGGATCAGACCTGTTTGCCCAATAGTGGCAAGACACATATGTATATAAGGACATCTGACCATTAGTTTGTCCATCAACAACCAGGAAAAAAAACACAAATTAAAATATTTTTGATGAAATCTGAGAGCTGGATCACTCCTGCATACTAGTCCATAGGCTTCTTGAGGAGTTGAAACTTGCCGGCCTCGAAAAGTTATTAAAGACATCGTTAAAATAGTCCAAGTGACTTCAGTGGCTCAATCTTAACTTTATCAAGCGACGAGAACACTTTTTGTGCGCAAAAAACAAACAAAAATGACGACTTTATTTCTAGAAGTAAACTATTCATTTACTTCTCTCTCTGCCTCGAGTCAGGTTACTAGTTTAACAGCGTATGATCTGTTGTTGTACGTCACACGCATCACACACATGACCAGCGTCGGCCAATAGTGAGCCTACGTGTGACGTAGCTCTACACAATTACACTACGTAAAATAACGACTTTATTTCAACTATTCACTTCCTTCTCTATGAGCCTCTAGTCAGTTAACGTAGTGTGATAGCGTAGTGCTACGTCACACGTAGGCTCACTATTGGCCGACGCTGGTCATGTGTGTGATGCGTGTGACGTACAACAACAGATCATACGCTGTTAAACTAGTAACCTGACTCGAGGCATAGAGAGAAGTAAATGAATAGTTTACTTCTAGAAATAAAGTCGTTATATTTGTTGTTTTTGCGCACAAAAAGTGTTCTCGTCGCTTGATAAAGTTAAGATTGAGCCACTGAAGTCACTTGGACTATTTTAACGATGTCTTTAATAACTTTTCGAGGACGGCAAGTTTCAATCCCTCAAGAAGCCTATGGACTAGTATGCAGGAGTGATCCAGCTCTCAGATTTCATCAAAAATATCTTAATTTGTGTTTTGAAGATGAACGAAGGTCTTACGGGGTTGGAACAACATGAGGGTGAGTAAATACTGACAGAATTTTAATTTTTTCCCTTTAACGCTCATCCAGTGTCCAACAGTATAGCAACCTCATGACCTTCTCTGATAAAATCACTGTATGTGTGAACAAGGCTTAAGAAAATCACTAAAGATGTTATTAGAAGCTTAATGGTGCAAAGAATCTAACAGTTTAACTGGTTTTAACCGTGGTCATTATCTGGTCTTAACTGGCTTAGGTTGATCAGCTGGAGTACCGGCTGGTTGGACAACCAAGGTCAACCTGGTTAAAGCTGGTAGATGACCAGATTCCTGCAGAGGGAACGCACAGAAACCAGGTGTTGCTGAAAGTATATTATGCATTCTGTAGAGGTTTTCTAGAGGACATTACAGAGCTTTGAGAGTATGAAAAATAAATGGACCTTCTCGTAGTACTGGAAAAAAAAAAGCTGTAATCACTTGTCGAAAGAGACAGAAAGTGAAAATGATGGTTTTCTTTTGAGATGCAGAATCCGGAAAACTCCCAGAATGAGACACTCCGACTAATTTATCTAATGAATAGAAAATAACTGTTTTGGGTTTATTGGATGCTGACTGACGCATACAAACACAGACATCCTACATTCCCTCTCTCAATGTTGTTTTCATTTCTGATTTCCTCTCACAGGCGCGTTTCACGATGGAACCGAAGATTAAGGTGTAATTATCCGTTTGAAGGGTGCTCATTTCTCTCAAAGACACTGGAATTGAGCACTTTAAAAACTTGAAAGCTTTTATTTTATCGTCATCATGCATTTCAACAGGATTTAAAGATGCCCCCTTTATAGGGATGATGTCTCAGCTAAATTGCAAGTTGAACACCCACCTACTGTCAATACAGAAAACTCAGAATCAAAGCCTCACCTAAATATATATTTTTAGACATGATTCACTGCAGAAATGTCCACAGCAAAAACACAACCATCCAATTCACATTCTTTGTTCATTTCCTAAAAGTATGCGGCATTTTTGTGTAGGTAAATAAGAGAAGGTACCACCATCTCGCTCCGACAAAAGTGACTTGAACGCACCCAATACTTCATACCGCAGAGATAGTACAAGTAGCATGCTAATGCTAACATTAGCCAGCATGCTATCCTTTGTCCTCGTGAATCGATTTAAATGGGGCATCCTTTCCAAACCACAATGAATTTCATCTTTTAATTCTCTTTTGTAATCATTTGGGTGTAGTGGGGAGTATGCGAGTGCAATTTGAATAAATTAATTATCTCCAAAGTTCTTGTACCTGCGGCTAGCGTGCAGCATAATTACTGACCGTGTGTAGCGCTACCTGCGCTGTAAGCTACACGCTCAGCACTTTAAAATGTCAAACATGCTGGAGGAGATGTGTGAACAATGTTTAACAGCCCTCTGGTCAGTGACACACGCATGTTAATTATGATAATGTTATGTTAATTTGTGACTAGAAGATGAATGAACGGGTGTAAAGAGGCCAGATCTAATGGGGGAGAGAGGGAGAGGCAAAATTAGTGCCTGTGTGTGTGTTAAATCATGCAGGGTTGGTGTTTTAAACTTATAGAAACACACATCTATCACCAAAGCCAACCATCCTGGCAGCAATTTGAGAAACTTTAGACATGTGTGTGAGTATTAGCACAAGCTAATAAGTCATTTTGAGAGTGTAACTCCGTTGAACTAAGGTACATCTCTCTTGATAAGAAGATTTCTATTCTCATTATTATAAAGGTATTCTGCCGTTGAGCTCTAAAGAGGATTCATGTTCATTTGGTCCGACCTTATCTCTCTTTGCATGACATCATCAGAGATTAATGTGCAGGAAAAGAAAGAACTTTTAAACTTATGAACTTTATATATATATATATATATATATATACACTCTAAAAAATGCTGGGTTGTTTTAACCCAACTTTGGGTCAAATATGGACTAACCCAGCCGTTGGGTTAAATTTTTACATTTCATTTTTAACCCAACATTTTGGGTTTGTCCATATTTGACCCAACATTGAGTTAAAACAACCCAGCATTTTTTAGAGTGTATATATATATAAATTGGTTCATTTATTTGTATTGTATAGTGTTAGCCTATAAATGCTTCGGCAATGTAAATATTTCTTTCACCATGCCAATAAAGTTATTTGAATCTTGAATCTTGAAAGAAACCCTCCTGAGAACAGAAAAGCTAACAGCACAGCAGACATTTTAAAGGTTGTATTATTAAATGAGACCATTTTATTTAATAATAAAAGAGGGTCTGTGTAAAATATTCATTTATTACATGTTTTTATATTTATATGATCTATTTAAATCTCTAGTAAAATGTTTTTTAATAGATGTATATGACTATTTGGGTTTGGGCCTTCTAGAGAAAGTCTAGCTAAATGAATGCATTACCATTTAAAGCAGCATTATGACATTTTTGAAATTTTGCTCTCGGGGTCCCCCTACAGTTGGGAAACAGTATTGTCTTCTACTACTGTCGTAAAATCTGTTACGGTTACACTAGGCTAGGGAATACACATTTGTTGACAAGCGATACCCCCGAACTCTGCAGAAGGAAGGAGTTCTCACATCTTGGGCAGACTCCAGTGTTGCGTGTGAAATGTCTTCATCACAGGTACATTGGCATATATTTCAGCATGTCTTATGAATATAGTGTCATTGGCTTTATTTTTTTCAAACGTCAAAAGATTGCGTAGCTCACGTTTACAAGCCAGCGTCTTTATAGTAATGTAACGTTTGCCTATTGGCTAGTGGCTACTGTTTTACATAATGGATTTGCTAATTCAATGTTTGTGTGGTATAATAATGATAATGTGATAATAGCCATATCGACAATATTATAATATCAAGCTGCAATGAATCTGCAAATTTAAAAAATCGATTTGCATTACAGCCTGAGGCAAGACACTTTCACCAGAAAAATAAGTATCAAACATGACCATCAGCCTGCAGACATCCTGACCGATTATTTTGTTCGTCTAATCATGTATTATATGCTTGCAAGAATGTCGCCCCTACCAAACTCAGTAATCAGTATACTTTCACTTCTCGAGCTGGCGTGAGCTGCCCGTCCCGGCTCTACGGGGATGCTTGAGTGTGTTAAGTGCCCTCAAAAGAAAACAATGCAGTCTACATTGGATGCGGCGAGGGGCGAAGCTACACAACACATTACCAACAGTAAACTGATCTCCCGCACTTCACATTTGCTAGGTGGGGGAAGATTGATGCACTGCCAGACCGGAGTCGGGGGACATAGTTACGTTTTTGTAGTAGTTTTACAAATTAATGTGTTTTTAAAAAAAAAATAGTATTAGTTTAAAATAGTATTTATTAGCTTAAAATAGTTTTTAAAATAGTATTCGCTCATTTTTGCGTACCTTTAGGAGCGAGGACCTCTCTTGGACCGGTCGGGCACCCCTCCTCCTCCTTTGGCTCACGCCAGCGAGCTAAAGCTGGACCAATATTGATCCTCGTCCTCGTCTTTCTACTGAACAAAACTTTTGGCTTCTTGCTGCTTCAGCCATGACAACATACAGAGAAAAAAAACGTTCGTTGGGCTCTCGCATCGGAAAGTGGGGAAAGTGATGTGTGCCGTAAAGCAGTCGAATTTTGTAGTTCTTTTTGTGCTCGGGTTCCTACCCGCTCCCCAAAGTTACAGAGTGCCAGTAAAAGCGATACAGACCACGTCAGGCTATGGCAGACTTGTCATTCAACCTATTGTAAGTCGATGTACCATCTCAAGGGTTTTGGAAAAATATTCTAAAGGTTGAAAAAGTTACAGAGTGCTGCTTGAACTAAACCTATAATATTTAATCGGCTAAATTTACTGTAGATTTAGTCGACTAAAATCTAATTGTATTTCATCTAACTAAAACTAGACTAAAATAATTCAGATGACTAAAATATGACTAAAACTAAATCAAAATTTGCTGTCAAAATTAACACTGATCTGAAGCAAAATCATCTGTGGTCTTCGTCCAGATGTCAGTGTTTAAAGAAGTAGTTCCCTTTTAAAAAAAACTTTTGCTGATAATTTACTCACCCCCATGTCATCCAAGATGTCCATGTCTTTCTTTCGTCAGTTGAAAAGAAATTAAGATATTTGATGAAAACATGCAGGATTTTTCAAAATGGACTTCAGTGGGAACCAAACGGTTCAAGGTCCAAATGACAGTTTCAGTGCAAACTGCAAACTGTTGAAAGGGTTTTAAACAACTCCAGACGATAAATAAGGGTCTTATCAAGCGAAACGATCGCTCGTTTAAAAAATAAATAACAAAGTTTATGTTTTATAAGCTCAAATGCTTGCCTTGCTCTGTTCTGTGATGCACGTTTGTGACTCTCCTGTTCGAACTCGTTTATCAAAATGAACGAATCTTTTCCTGAGTCAAATTTTGTTCGTTGAATGAACCAAATGACACGAAAAAGGATTCATTCATTTTGATAAACCAGGAGAGTCACAAACATGCATCACAGAACAGAGCAAGGTGACCGTTTGAGCTCATAAAACTTTTTTTTTTTTTAAATGAGCGATCATTCGCTTCATCGTCTGGAATCGTTTAAAGCCCTTTGAACTGTTTGCAGTTTGCACTGAAACTGTCTTTTGGACCTTAAACTGTTTGGTTTCCAGTGAAGTCCATTATATGGAGAAAAATTCTGGAATGTTTTCATCAAAAACCTTAATTTCTTTTCGACTGAAGAAAGAAAGACGTGGATATCTTGGATGAAACGGGGGTGAGTAAATTATCAGCATTTTTTTTTTTTTTAAAGTGAACTGCTCCTTTAATGGTGTCAAAGACCTGTGCAGATGATGAACACCTGCCATGCTCACACGCTTCATGTGCTTTGAGGAAGCCTGCGGAGCGCTAAGAGGCTTCACCTGCTTTCTTTTTGTTGGCCTTTTCCTGCAGGTCAAAGTCTTTGTTTTAAACGGCAGGGAATTGTCGGTCACGGTAATGTGTCTGAATCACGTTGAGAGCGGACACCTGCTCTCGGAGGAATCCCGCTCACCTGGAGTGTGCAACATTTTAAAGGTTCGTCCAAAAAACAAAACGGCTGAAATTTTCTTTTAATGATCCTTTTGGCTATGCTATGCAGTCTGTTCATGGTTATCGATTACTGCGGGTCATTTTATGGTAAAAGCTCTTACACCTGTTATCCGCTGTCATCTAAGTGGTGCAAAAATGCCTCATGGATTGCCTTTCAAAAACAGGAACCAGATTATGATTATCCTCATGAAGTGCTCTATCAATACTGTCAAATTGTCTTTGTGCCGTGACAAAAAGCATTTTCACGGATCAGTTCAGCTGTAAGGGACAAACGTGGCATTTGAAATCACATTAGTTTCATGCTGTTTATTGTTTGGCAATATTTGCCGGCTGTGTGGGCTTCAGGCCAGAGCTGACGGTCGGACTTTTCACAACAGATGAATGGCTGATGCTCGGAGCATTATGGGAAATCCATCCCTTATCCCATAATTTTGTTTAAAAATAATCAACGTTCAAGCCGCTGTTCCAGTCGTGTGGAAAGAGATTACTAAAGCGCTGCAAAAATTTTATATTTACGTTAAAACTTTTAAAATAAATGGCTCCTTTTAAAACCTAGTGCCTTATTGCCTAGGCTACTACTGAAGGGACAATACAATCTTAAAGTATTTTGGACAATATAAAATGATTTAGCCTATGTTAAATATGAGTATAAAAAGTAACAAATTTTAATTGAAAAGATAAAATACATAGATTAATGTAAATACATTTGAAATATAGTTGTTCAAATATAATATACATAAGTATTTTAAAGTGTATTATGTCAAGTCACCAGCTAATCTCCAACACTCTAAACAATGCTGTGTTGTTTTAACCCAAATTTGGGTAAAATATGGACAAACACAAATGTTGGGTTAAAAATGTAATTTAAAAATTGTAATTTAAATGTGTAATGTAAATTTAACCCAACTTCAACTTTCAACTGTACATTTGTTTTAATTACATGTTTAATCCAACATTGGGTTTGTCCATATTTATAAATATATATATAGGGGCCAACTATATTAACAATATCTTAAAGCGAAACATATTTATACATGTCTACTTTTGGGAACAGGCTTGTCCGCTCACTAGTTTTTATTCACATAAGATTTTATTCTCTTTTGGGCCAAGATTCCCCAGCAGTGGCCTAGAAAACTTCATATGAATATTTTCTACATATCTGTCATTCATCAGATCCGCTGATGGCCGGGGAAATATATGACGCACGCTGAGATAAGCATATATGGCTCTCGAGTGCATCAGTCTCAAATCTCAGCACAACTCCGTCCGGGCCGGTGGCTGTTCCCTCAGATAAAGCAGAATATTTAAAGAGTATCTTTCAGATACATACCGTCCCTAATCCCACAGGATCGTCGCTGTGGCCCTCGGTGGGCTTGCTCTGTGATTACAGCTCCCATGTACTCGGCATTGTTTGTACACACAACATTATTTAGCCGAGGCCTGTGTCGGAATCCATCAGGCTCTGTTTAAGTGCATGCTTCATCTGTTTGTGTAACTTTAGACTGCTAGATTAATGCACGCTAAACCCTGAATGCTCTCAGGCTAGCAGAGGGTTCGCTCCGAGACGCAGTGCATTACGCTCTTATCCCTAATGCTCCCGTGCAGAACTATTATTCAGGATTTGGAGCAGAATTGTCATGGATACAGAGATTATACGTGCACTTAATACAGTTTTACCTCAACCGGAGAAGGTGGCAGAGCTTCAGTTTAACATGTAATCAGAATATCCTTTATTCAGAGCTGGAGATTTGCATAGTTTTTCCTCACATTTTCTTTTTATTCGCAGATGCTCGTCTGGAGTAACTTTTACATATGAACTCCGATCCGTTTGCTTGTGTTATCAGCAGAACAGAGTTCAGTCCTTGTGCTGTGTTTATTTGTAGTTTATATGCTTTTTATCATTAGATCATGATGATTTTGTGTGCCTTCTAAAGGCCATTGCACACCGAGTCCGAAATTCGCATGCGGAATTTTCGCACGTTAAAAAAAAAATTTGACCTCACGTTATGTCAGTCACGCTTGCACACCGCCTCCGAAACTTTCGTCCGTCATAAAATTAATCGGATCGGGTTCGATTTTCTGCGTTTTTCGCATCCAGAGCCAGCATTTTGAGAGGTCTTTTGACAATTCAGGGCCGGGGGGAGCTCGTCCTCAAATCATTGCACATATGCGCCGTGCTTTCAGTTTCGGTTTTCAATTCGATCAAGTGTTTGTTCTCTTCTCTATATTGGATTATGAAATTAATAAACCTCCCCTTTCAATCAGATTGAAATTTAGGATCGAATAAGGTGTGATCGAGCAGCCTATTCGATAACTAATGTATTATTTGGGCACAATATACACAATAACAGCCTAGCTGTTCTGTCTGCCCAGCGCTTCCAACGGGCCGCGCGCGGGTGTGTGTTTGTCCGTGTGTGTGTCCATACCTGGTCCATACTAGACACACTGCCAGTCTCCGTTCAGAATCGATTGGTTCACGGAAATTGGTGGTCTTGTTTTTAATATGTGGCTCCAGAATCGCTAGCAAAGCATCAAACTGTCCCACTGACATTCAGAGGTAAATTTTGAATCGCTCAGGATAAATTCGCAACTCCTTGATAAGGAACTCTCCTTCCCCTCGGCGCAATTTCAGGATTGGATGGACGTAATATTTTCTCTTTCTTCTCTTTTCAATATGAGAGAGGGCAAAAATCATCGTCACTGCTTGACGAATCCATTTGGTATTTTTGCGTTTTTTCCCGCAAAGGTTTAAGAAATACGCAACGGACTCGGTGTGCAAGGTTTCTATGCGTGACGAATTTTTAGGCTGACGAACACGAAAATACGCATACGAATATTTCGTACTCAGTGTGCAATGGCCTTTAAGGCATCATCATCAAACATCATAAGTGACTTGAAACGCTATGCAGGAATAGAAACCAGACGACTGACTATGTCCTGTCCTGTCAGGACAAAAACTCAAGCAGGTTTTTTTTTTTTTTTTTCGCTTTATCGATTGTACATATTTAAACACCGGTCTTTTAATTTACACATTTATTTGGATAAAATTTCAGTTTAAGTATTTTTTTAAAGCATTTTTACATTCCCCCATTTCCCTAAATTGAGTAGGCCTATACACACACACACACAGACATATATATAAATATATATATTTAACTTATTAATATATATACATATAATTTTAATTTGAGCAATTTGCATGTTAACAGGATTTTAGAGTGAAAAAAACACAGTGAGAAAATCATCAAATAGACATTACCATAGTTCTGACATGAGACTCTGGATGGTGCAGGCTGTCGGTCTCTAGCTTATTGGTTATATATATATATATGTATATATGTATACAAACACACACACACACACACACTGTATATATATATATATATATATATATATATATGATTTCACTTAAATGGCAATGATAATTACCTATTAATTGTTATTTAAGTGAAATTACTGAACTTAAATATACAAGTTTGATAAAAATCATCATTAAAGAAGAAAATTTCAAATGGCATTTAGAGGCTTTTGCATCTGAACTCTTCATGTGTATATATATATATATATATATATATATGAATGTATATAAACACAAAAACTTATGCTATTAATCACAGATAATCGATTTGTCAGCACTAATTATGTTATATTATATTTACTGGATCTCAGTATTTTATTTATTTTAAATTCACTTTTTAACAATGCTGTATGGCAAAATAAAAGAACATCACTTTTGCTTAGAAAAATAAGTTTTATCAGATAGGGTGAAAATCTTTTCTACATAGGGAATAATTAATTATGATTATATGATTCATAAAACTTTTATTGGACTAATGAAATTCCTCTGATGTGTGACTGCAGGATTTCTTTGAAATGAAATTCAGTGAATTCCTCTCCATATCCTAATTCAACTTTCTGTGGGGCGTTGCCTATTCAAATCAAATTCACATCCGAGCATTGTCAGGGAGCCGGTTATTCAATTCTGAATTTTACACAACCCTGCTGTTCAATTCTGTCTCGAATCCCTCTACGGAGCCGGATTTGTGAGTATTTGCAAAGTGTGTTTGGGCTTCAGAAGCCAGACATCAATAACGGCTCTGCTTTAATCTACAGCCTGATTCAAATTTAGATTGTCCTGTTCTTTTAAAGTGCTTTAGTCCCAGCGTCTGAGTAATACTTGTGCTCAGATGTGTTTTCTGCTCTCTGGGGTGTGTTTCAGACTGTTCTTCAGATGCTCATTAGATTAAATGAGTATTTGTTCACTCAGAAAGAGCACTGCTGTGACATGTGCAGGCGCTTGCACAAAAAAAAGTGTCATGGGGAACATTGATGCTCGAGGATATGTTTGGCTTAGTTATTACTCCATTAGTGGACATTTGCGTCTCCAAACCAACTTATCGTACAAATACCCCGAGGTTTATTGTCTTGAGCAGTGGCGCTATAGTGATTGGCCACCAATTGGTAAAGTTCATTGTCCCTCGAGGCGTTTCAACCTACAACCTTTTTGTAGCTGAGATCTTTAAAAGAATATTCTGGGTTTGAGTTAAATTGACTGCATTTGTGGCATAATGTTGATACCATGAAAATAAAATAATTTCCTCTTGTCCCTCCTTATCTTTAAAAAAGCAGAAATCTGGGTAGGAAGGAGCTTAAAATGGAAGCCAATTAAAATGCTAACTGTTTCAATAGTATAGCCACAAGATTTGAGCAATTTGCATGTTAACAGGATTTTAGAGTGAAAAAAAAAACATAGTAACCATTTTCGGGCCAGTTATGTCCGATGTCAACACATTGTTGCCATGACAACGTAACCCCAAAAACCCTAAAACAAACGTAAAATTGATGAGCAACTTCAAAGCTCAAATAATACGCATTTTAACAGAAGATAAACCTGATATTTCTGCATTTAAATACACTTCCATTGTAAGTGCACTACCGTTAACTCGATTTTAGATTTTTTTTTTTTATAGAAAATTAGCGATTTA